TCCTCTTGGATTTAGGGTAGATACTCCTGGATTCACCACTGAAATCCTAACTTTGTGCAATTACATAGCCATTCCGAGCCTCAGTATTCTTGTCTGTTGAAAGGGAAACAAAATCTGGGGATGAAGATTCAGTGTGGTTTTGTTATCCATGCTTCATAAGCAGTAATTACCACACAAAGATTAAATGGTTTATACTGGTATTTATCAATAATTGTTAATATTAACAGTATTGTTAATTATAGTAATAATAATTTCATTACTATTTCTCCTTTTCTTCTGGCCTCTAACAGCAGCCTACCATATCTGTAACTTCTGCATGCAGCCCCCTGCCTCTGCAATTCACAAAGAGAAAACACTACTTCTGTTGCACTTGCCAAGATTTAGTATATAAGCAGCTGATGACCTACATCTTAATTTCTCTGCTGACACTTCTAGCATAAATGGAGATTGGGACCAAGAGAAGGATACAAGCGTCCCCAAAGTCCTCAGCTGGGTGGTCATCGCAGTGGTGGAGATCCGATTCTTACAAGCTTTCCCCTTCTGAAAACTGTATTGTCTACTTGTCACATGACTTTGTCCATATTTGATTTTCTCCACTGACAAAATGGTAGCCCCTGCAATTCATGGCTTAGTGAACAGACTTGAACCAACATATTTGCCAAAGAAAACCTGTGACTTGTACCCTGGGTGCAAAGCTAACTCAGTATTTGTGTAGGTATAAAACTCTGCCTTCGGTATGGTCTAAGGAAATGAAATTATTTGACTTTCTCAAGTAATTTGATAATTTTTTCGCCAAGAAGCGAGCCTAGCCATTACCTTAATACACTCATATGTAATATGGAGCCTTACTCATACAGTCAGCTTTAGGACAGAAAGGGTGCATGGGAACATCACGGGGAAGGTGCTAATCATTTTAACCTGCTGTGTATTAGCAGTCCTGCTGGAAGGGGTGAGAATTTAGACAGTTAAAATTTGCTTGTCAGGTTGCTGTTACAAAATTCCCAGTGATACTATGTGTGGAGCATAAATAGGAAATGGCCAAAGTTGTTTCCTTGAAAAAGCCAAATTTTTACACAACTGTCAACACAAGGAATTATTTTGTCCTTTTTTTTTTTAAAGGCGAAGGAGCATGTTCTAGGCATTTTTTTAAAAGCAAGTTTTGAAACCTGTTTCAAACTTCTCCTTCCTCAAAAGTTTTTTTTTTTTTTCAAGTCAGAATGTCTTCAGATCCTGAGGAAAACCCGTCAAGTGGAAACCATATGATTCTAAGACCAGGTTTTGTGAGAAGTCAGCACTGAATTCAGGCGTTCTTGCTGTACTCAGCAGACCTGGCCCTGCAATCAAAACCATTTGATTCTAAAGCGGGTCCTCCTATAGCCAGGCACGTTCCAGCACATTGTGAGCTCTGAAAGAGCATAATTACAAACAGAGAAAGACAAGCAGCACACATTGACTTCATATAGCTTGCTTCTTTCAAAGAGCACACAGCTTCTCATGCATATGCTCTCACCTGTCCTTAGAAAACCCGCGATTAGTAAGTGAGGAGGTGGTTACCACCCCTGTATTATAACACAGGGCACCCAGAGGTTCGGTGGCTGGGCCAGGGCCACACAGGCTCACACATATCTCTGGCTCACAATGGTCTCTCCGTACGATGCTTGGAATGGATTTATCACAGGTTTTTGAGCACTGACCATGTGTTGATGCTACAAGTACAAAGACCTGGCCTCTGACCTTGAGGAGTCCATAATCTCAGTGGGGGCTGGGAATGAGGTGGTATGACGCAGCAGAGATGAGGAGGTTTAGGGGAGATGATCAGCATCACTCTGCTCAAAAAACTGCACCGCTAGCTTTTTCTTAATCCAAGAATAAGAGCTGGTCTGCCTCAGCACAGAGAACCCTCACCAGGCCAGGCCTTACACAGAATGGGAGGCAGTACTGTTGTCTTTTATGAGTCAGTATTATTTTCTATTCCTGTGGAATGAATTACCACAAACTTAGTGGTGTAAAACAGTGCAAATTTACTATCTTGCAGTTTCTGTGGGTCAGGAGTTCAGGTACAGCTTAGCTGGGTCCTCTGCTCAGGGTCTCACCAGACTGAAATCAAAGTGTCGGCCAAGGAAGCAGTTCTCAGCCGGCGGTCAGGGTTCTCTTCTGGGCTCACATGGCTGGTGGCAGAATTTGTTTTCTGTGGTGGAATGACTGAGGGTCCTATCCTCTTACTAGCTGTTGACTGCATAATCCCTTGCTGCATGGTGCCCATGGGCTGCTCACAGCATAGCTGTTCACTTTCTTCCAGGCCAGCAGGAGACTGGTTAGTCACCTTCTTTTAAAGGTTCCTCTGTTTAGGTCAGGCCCTGATACTTTTGATTAACTCAAAGTGAGCAGATTCGTAATCTGATCGCAAGAGAATATCCCATCACAGTCACAGGTCCTGCTTGCACTCGGGCGAGGGGATCACGTAGGGCATGCACAGAAGGACACAGGGGCTTGGGGCCACTTTAGAATCCAGCCTTCTACAGCATCCTCCCACCTGGGTGGAGGCCTTCCCGCCTTACTGTGTTGGCTGCCTTGTCTTGCGGAATAGGCAGCACCGTCTCCACAATGAACATCCTCCCCTCCTCCCACCAAGATGTCTTTAAAAATGGAACACTATTTTGTAAGAAGAGTTAATCACTACTGGCTGAGTTTCAGGCAATATAACAAGCACTTGCTTCTATATGGTTGATGCCTGGTACAGTGTTGGGCACTTAGGAGTCCTCAGTTCCATGCATTCATTTATTGAGAAGAGAAATATTTGGGGCATCCTCATCAGATTACATCCTATAAAGAAAATTCCTGCCCTCCATGTGCAAAGCTGATTCCTTCTTTTAGTTTATATCACCTTTTCCCCTGACTTAAATGTAATTCATGCTTATCATAAAACACTTTGGGGCTTTTCCTCCAAGATTTTGTTTTTTATATTTAACTTTTTAATCCATCTAGAACTAATTTCTCAATATGATGAATACATTATTTCACCCCTTACCCAATTAGTTACACACACATTGTGTACAATAAGCTCTATTTTTGAGCTATCTTTTCTAGATCACTGATTTGCCCAGCCTATCTGTGTGCCAATCTTATCTATTTTAGTTATTGGAATTTTATAATGTTTTAGGATTTGGTAGGGCAGGTGTGGCCTCACTATTCTTCTGTAAGTGAAGGTCTATCTTGCTGCCTGCTCTAGCCCCTTAGACAGCATGGCATTCTTTGGCAATGTCAGGACATGCAGCCAGATCTACATTCATATTCTACTTCTGTATCTTCTTAGCTCGATTCCTCTGAGTCCCATTGGAATGTAAACCTGTAATAATAATGCCTATGTAACAAACTTATTATGAGAATTAACTAGGGTGACTTCTCAGGACCATCCAGCATGTAGTAGGTGGGCAAAACCTCCTAGCTGGAGTAGAGGAGAAACTCTGAAGGTCCAGACACTCATGCCTCTGTCTATCCATCCTTACAAGCAGGGACGTGAGTCTAGTGGAAGCATCCTGTACAAATGTTGAGGTTCAACTTTCTCAGGCCCAGGCCAGCCTTGAGGTCAGGAGTATCCAGGATTTAATACATGGTCCCAGCCTCCGGGAAGCATCTTCAGGGTTCTCACTGGTCCAAAGGTGGTTTTGCTGAACTGAAACCTTCCCAGAACGTGCTGGGAGACACTGGAAGGGATGTGAATCAAATGCAGACATCCCTGGTAGGATTCTGGAAGTGCCAGGGAATCAGCATCCCTTGCTTCATCTCCAGGGAGCCTGTCTCTGGGTTTCGGCACCCAGAGAAAGTCCTCAAAGCCACAAATAGCAGGGGCTGGGGGTGGGAAGTCATCCTTGCACACCTGAGGCGATACTGGCAAGGGGAGGAGGGTGAGACTGATGGCATGTGCTGGAAGTTAACGAGTGAGAGATGAATGAATGGAGGATCCCCCACAGTATTGAATCAGTGGTCTGCATCTTCCCTAGGGGATAAAAGTGACTAGTATCCTTACACAAACTACAGACACAGAAATCAAAGTCTGTGACTGCGATGAGTCACAAGGCAGCCAAGAGTTTTGAAGGTCAGACTCTTCCCTGGCACCTTCCCTTTTACTCAGAGAAAACAAGGCCTGTACTCTTTGTTCCTTCAAGAAGGGTCTCTGGAGGCTTACTCTGTGCTCTTGGGAGCTCAGGTAGAAGGATGGCCTCAGCGAGCTTTCAGGCTGCCCAGGGAGGAGGTGATGAGAGAGAACGCGACAGGCATCCTTGTGTGTGTGGATCTGCTCTCTGATGGTGGTGGCAGGGCAATTTGACTTCCCATCCTAACTCCACCCCTGCAAGGCCTTCCGTAAAAAAGGGTCAGATGTTCAAAGCTAGAAGAAGTCTTAGATACTATCTAGCCAAGCCTTTTTATTTTCTAGAAGAGAAATCTAAACCCAGAAATTAGAATTGTTTGCCCAGGTCCACCCAGCTTCATAGCAGTGATGGAACTTCACTACTGCCCTTCCCCACAATTCAGCATCTGAAAAATGAGGTAGCTCTCCACCTCCCATCAAGCTTCCAGAGGCAGCATACCACCTGTGAGGCTATTACAGAAACACAGTGAACGGTTTAGAAGTGCCGGCCCAGCAGCCAGGAATATGCCAGAGAGGAGACTGAAGTCAATGGTGTTAATACAGGAAATATGGAAGCAATAAACTCTAAAGGTTAAAAGGCCCCCTGAGCTCAGAATTCTGGTCTCTTCAACTTAAAAGCTGTGTGAACTTAAGCAACTTTCTTCATACGCTAAACCTTATCTTCTCATTATAAAATGACAGTGATGTTTCCTACAGGATTGTTTTAAGAATTAACTGAAATGAACATCAAGCACTTAGGCTCAACGTCTAGAGTGAAGATGTGTTACTGGGTTAAAGAACCGCTAGAAATGCTCACCTGTGTGGTGTAAGATCTGAGTGTTCACCTGACTGCCTCCATGTCGTATTTCAGTTCCAGGAGCCCTGGAGGAGTGGCACAGAGGGGGAGACTGTGGCGAGAGAATGAAGAAGCCAACCGCCCGGGAGAAGCATGAGGTGGCAGTGTGGCACTCGGTTTAGAGGGCTTCGGCCGGCGGCGGCCCCATGGGCAGCCCTGCTGGCGCTGGGCCTCCCCGGTTGGGTGTTGGCAGTCTCGACCACGGCTGCGGGTGCGGCCCCCGAGCAGCATGCCTCCTCGGCTGGCCAGCCGCCCCTGGACTGGCTGCTTACCGACCGGGGCCCGTTCCACCGCGCGCAGGAGTATGCTGACTTCATGGAGCGCTACCGCCAGGGGTTCACCACCAGGTACAGGATCTACAGGTGAGTGCTGCTACCCACTAAGACAGGGGCTTCCCTCAGAGCCCAGGGGGCCTCCCGCCGGGGTGCGGGCCCCCACCCTGACTGCGAAGCCAGCTGGACCACCTGCAGGCTGAACTGGAGGTGAGAGCTGGGGAGCAGCAGGCAGGGAAAATCTGCCTACCATGTCGGTTTGTAAAAAAAGAAAGAAGAAAACACATACAAGCTGGAAAACCTGCTGATGCCTCCTGGGGAACTTAGCAAAAGGGTTTCTATTTATAGGTTGTGCTGCTTATAAATTGAGGACAAATCAGGCAGCAGAGAGTCAGCGTGCAGCCCGCGCTGCAGCAGGAGGTCAGAGTCAAATGCTGGGGCCGGGTTTTAACTAATGGGTTAGATACTTTTATGAGTTGTAATTACCTAGACATGCAAATGAAGGTAGGGCAGCTCCGACTCTGGCTGAGGGGTCTGGGGAGTCCTGCAGGGTCAGGGACGAGCCCGCCCTCACCCTGGTCAACACCACAGCCTCCACTGGCTCTGCACGTGGAAATGGGCTGGATCATCCTGGACCTTGTGGGACATCCGCAGGAGCATTAGAGCTGAAAGTCAAACACGACACCCGCCTGGTCCATCCGACAAGGGAGAAACATATTCCTGGCTTCTGGGCCAGCACTTAAAAAGCAAAAGGTTCCTCGAAATCCTCACCTCGGGTGACCCAGCAAGGCTCAGGGCTCCCACAAGTAAACACATCCCTGAATTCAAACTTCCCCTTCATCCCTCTGCCCACTTGGCCCCTTGTCATCACTCCCTTTTCCACCTTGTCTGTGGTCTTCAGAAAACCCTGGGACCTTTGCTGACATTTTCTTCTCTTATCAAAAACATTTCTTTTCCAGTTACAAATTAGTTTCTAATGCAAAACAAAGAGAAAATATTAAAAGGCACAAAAAGAAACAAACTCAGAAAATCACCTATTCTTTTTTTTTTATGATACTATCAGATAACAGTTAATTTCTTCTTCAGTGAATATTCTTGGACACGTCTTGTCTAGGACATATGCCAAGGAGCAGATCATGGGTTGTAGGATACATAATATCTTCAACTTTGCTAGATTCTGTGTATGGTTCTCTAAAGTGAGAATCACATATTCTTTTAGCATCTAGGGGTTGCTAATGTAAACCTTTAGCACATGCATTTCTGGTCATCTGAACATACTAAAGTTTTTGGCCCTCTTGTTAGACCTAGTACCATATATGCCTCATATACATTAACTCATATAATCCTTCCAAAAACTCTAGCAGAAGAACAATTATTCTCCCTTTTTTACAGATGAAGAAAATGAAGTCCAGAGAAGTTAAGGAACTTGCCAGAAGGCACACAGCTAGTAAAGAGTGGAGCTAGGATTAGCTCCCAAGTAGTCAGACTTGAGTCTGAGTTCTTAAGATGTATTTGGAGACATTTTCCTGTTTCTGAGAGTTTGTTTTAACTTCCATGATAACCATGGAGTCTGTTTAGGTTAGTATGGAGCCTCATAAATAAGATTTTAAGGTATTTAGGATGGGAAGACTCCCAAGTAGTCAGAGTGGCCACTCATAGACACTGTTCTTCCAGTACCTGACTCCTGCATGCAGATGTTGATGACTGGGGCAAGATCAGAATTTCAGGAGCTGGTACATCACTTCCTGGGTGCAGGGGTATACAGAAACAAAACACACTCTCAGGAATAGCCTGTCCAGCTTTCCTTTCAGATCATTTCTCATCCCCTGGGCTTGGGAGGGACTGCAGTTCCCACTCCCTGCTTTGGTGGCTCTACTCCTTGCCATTCTCCAGAGACTTCATCCACACAGGGCCACTGAGGCAGACAGTGGCCAACCCAGGCTGGGAGTGGGTGAGTTAATACCTGCTCAGGGGAAAGCAGATATGCAGAAGAGGTAAGGACTTTCAGTAAATATATAAGAAACTAGACATATGGCCCCCACAGATTTTCTATAAGCTAAATTCAGGGTGATGTTTCTCTTTATCAAAGAATTTCTTTTTCCATCCCTTCAACAAAGAGAGGCAATCTACCCTAGAATGTGTTCAGGCAGTGAGTCCCTCCAGTTGAGGAAAACAAGGTTTAATTTACCTTAGACATTTCCATTTACCCCGAATCTTTCAAAAGCGCTTGTAATCACCAAAAATATATCTTTAAGTATATTGGAACTGACATGTCAAGCCGAAATTCCAACACTACCATCTTCTTCAAAGGGTTGTAGGAACTAGAGGGAATAAACCACAAGCTTCCTTCTCCCCTCAGTAGATTTTTTATTCTCATCAAGCCCCAGCCCCAAGCCTGGCAGCCACGGAAAGCCTGGGTGGCAACTCAGAGCAAGCCTGTGGGGAATGCCCGCGATCACATCAGCCGTTCTAGCAGTTGGTGATGGTTTCTGATCATTTCATGGGATAGGCTCTTCCACTGTCCCATTCTGTTTCTCTGGGGTCTGTTACTGCAAATGAACCTACACTTGGGGAAGCAGTAACCAGTCCTTCTGACAGGAAGGCAGCAGTGGAGCTCTGAGAGAATGGCCACACACAGCTACCCCAGAGCATTCTGGGAGTTTTGCCTCTAATTATTGAGCAAAATGGTGGATCCATGTGTACTCGTTGTGGGCTCTATATTATTGCTGTGGGAATTTGCCCTTGTCCCTTCCCCTTTTGTCTCTAGTGGCAATTATCTTTGACAAATTCGACCTTGCTTACTCTGACTGAAGTGGGTCACTGAAAACTGGTAAAATATACACTGAGGGTCATCCCCCAAGGACTAGAAGGGCATTTTGTCTAGAAAGGCGGAGGGAGTAAAAGCTTACAGAGAATATCAGAAATGCTGTGTAGTGAAATATTGATTAGGTCTCAGAATTAATCTTTCAGTTCTCTAAGAAGCTTTTGGTACACAGGAATCAGATGGTATCCACACACACCTTCTGTATAAGAAAGGAGATGAACTGTGATGAGGGAGAATAAGATTTTGCAAGAGGACTAGACGAGTTGGTGCAGGGTCACATGACGCTCTCTCACAGAGCAGGAGAGAGCCCCTCCTTCCCTTCCAGCTGTGTGAGCACACAGTAACTATTCCACAACAAGCTTCTGACATTAAGCTCTGAATCCCACCTATTCTCACCTGGATATCAGAGTGTGCTCCTACTTGGAGAAGATGACTGATCATTCTAGAATAGCTCTGGACTCTCTAACTGTGGGCCCCTGGAGATTGTTCCTCTCTCCATATCAAGTTTGTGTTCATGTAGACATTGATGCTTCTAGAGCCAGAGGACCTGGGTTCTGATCCTGGAGCTGCAGCTTACGATCTGTAAATTGCTGGACAAATTATTAAATGTCTTTGTTTCCCAGTTTCCTTATTTGTAAAATCAGGATAATAGTAGTGCCCACCTAATGGACTGATGTCAAAATTAAAAGAGTTAATTGATGTAAAGCACTTAAACAGTGCTTAACAAATATAAATATACATTAGTAGATAAAAATTTTAATACATAAAAATCAATCTATTATTATTAATTCTCCTCAACAAATATTAGCTAAGGCAAGAACGGAAATGCCGTGAGAGCCATGGGTGCTATTTTGTGATCGTGTCTGCAGAGGGCTTAGCATTCAACAACTTACATTAGAAAAAAGGGAAAAAATATTCTCTTGCTTTCCTTTTTAAAGCATATTTATTGACCTTTACCCCTCACTCTGTCTCTGGGCTGAGAGAGGAACTCAACTGAAGAATGCATGTATCTTCTCTGAGGCACATTCTTACTGGCTTCATGGGCTACCAGAGGGAGCTAGAGGGTTTCCAGCATGTTTCAGAGCCACCCCAGATGATCCTTCTCCTGAAGCAGGGAGTGCCCCTAAGCAGGCCTGCCTTAGGACATCCTACAGAAGCTGGTCACTGCCAGCTCTGTGGTTCCAGGGATGAAATGAACAACCTCAGGATGGCACCATTACGAGAAGAGAGATAACATGCACTCTTGTTAAGCCTTCCTAAATAACTGGATGGGTTTGGTCTTCTCACTCCATTTTGGGCCTTTAAATTCCATTAACCAACCTCTCAGCATGCCCTCAAGTCCTGGTTGAAAAAGATCTGAGCGATCAGCCCACTTCTCAGCCCAGTCTAGCCACTCTTAACAGGTTAGTGGTAAGAGCTATAAGAGCAGAGATCCCATCTCCAATTCCATCTGTGACCCCTGAGTCTCCTCTTTTGCTCCACTCTATGGCCCCCACTACAATAAACTCTTAAGTGATCAACCTCTCACAGCAGCCCTGTGAGGCAGATGGGGGCTGTTAGGGTCCAAGGCAATGAGACAGACCTATTCAAGGTCAGAGAGGTGGCCAGTCACAGCCAGAAATAGCACTCAGGGCTCCTGACTTGGAGTCTCCTGCTCATAACTCTAGACCACGCCACTTCCCTTTGACTGGTAAGTGCATCTTCATCATAACACGCAACCTAATCAGGCACCTAAATTGAGCTGATGCAAATGTAAATATGGTTTCTCGAAACACTCTAGCGGTAATGTTCCATTCTCTCTTTGCTACAAATCAAAGTAACGAGCAGTCTGTTTTTTTAAATTTCTTTTTGTATTAAGGCTTTAATAGAGAGATAATCATGAGATTGGAAAAAATCCAAGTCACTATGATGAAACACTTAAAACTCGGAAAGAATAAATTAAAATTAAGAGAGAAAGTTAGAACTCATACAGAACAATGACTATAATACAGTGGCTGGGAGAAAAGCAAGTTTAGGTATAATTCCAAATTATTGGCCTTAGTCATTTTTCCCTCCATTTGCCTTTTTAGAAAGGAAAGATCTGGAAGGCAAAAGAACATTTTTTTCCCTTTTTCTAATATAAGACACTACAAGTCTTTTGGGAGGAAAACAAACAACAAAGAAACTATATAGAGATCTTCACTGACAACAGGGACATTATATTCCAATCACCTTCTGGGCAAAGTTTGCATATTTTGAGAACTGAAGTAGAACACAATGGAAAACC